TGTCAACAACAACAACAAAAAATATATATATATATATATATATATATATATAGAGAGGAAGAATTATTTATATTTAATTAAGGATTACTATTTTTTTTTCTCTCTCTCTACAAAGGTATTAATTATATATAAATAAGTTCTCACACACATATTATTAAATTTTCTTTTTCTATTACTCTCTTCTTCTTCACGAAACGTACAAACAAGCAGCATGAATGAAGATTTGCACAGTATTTTATTGACAAAAATATAAAATAATCAGTGAAAGAGTTGGATTCTCCTACATCATTTTTAAAAAATTATTAATGTAAGCGTATAAACAATAAAACGAAGTGTATATACTGTTGTGTTAAGACTCCCCCCCACACAAGAATGGGGGGGGAGTAGGAGTTTTGAAAGGTAATCGATTATGCAACTTCTATATTGAATCAGGAAATCTGGTCTTTATTTCCAAAAATATCTCACCCACTTCTGGAACTCAGCCCAAAACTGCCTGTAAATACAAAATAAAACCTGTGAGAACTTCCCCCGTATTGTCAACAATAATGAAAATTAACATCTCCGTCGTAATCATTTACGAAACTCATTTTTTTATGGTATTTTTTATTTTTTGTAATTTTTTGTGAAATAAACTAATCTTTCTAAATTATACTTGCCTATCTTTTTTAATTTTTTTTCTTTTTTATTATAATTATAATACGAATTTAATTACACGATAAATCACATAATTAAAAGGAGTCGATTTGAAACAGCAGAAGAAATTACAAAGAAAATAATATGTGTTTGTTCGCATAAAGATAACTTTTTTCGCTTCGACGCTTATTAATTTTATCTATAATAAATTAATCTGAAGATATTATACATAAGATTCTTTTTTAGTCGGCTACACATTTTCTAAATAATACGTAATAATAGAATCTATATGATCATATTATTTGTTCTACACAGGGTGTGTTGTACCTCGACCCAATTGCATCAGCATACATTGTTTATTTATTAGAAAAAGCCCATTCAGGATCATATGACGAGGTTCTCTTTTTAAAGAATCAAATTTATTTTTCAAATCAGCATAAAATTTAATACAATAAATAATATTACAAATAGAGTGTAATACAATTCGCGTACTAAAGTGTAGATTAATATGCTTCCCGACGCAAATGGGTCTCTAAAATATTTTATCACCCGCTTAGAAAGAGATAAATTTCACAATATACGCAGTTGTTCATTCAGGGTTGTCATTGTAAGCTTGTAATTACTAATTTTTTTTTCCTTTTTTTTTTTTTTT